TCCTGTCCTTACAAGAATTCACAACTATAAATAGTGCTAAAAAACAAAACAAAACAAACAAAAAAACCTGGTTTATGTAAAACAAAAAGGATCTCAAAAGCAAAAACTTTACTGTTCAGCAGCTCAAGATGACATAAATGTCATGCCATGTGCTACTGCTCCCAAACGCTGAAGACTAGGAGCATCCAGAAGCCAACTGAAGCACTACATCTGATGCTCTGCAGCAAATGCACCTATATTTTCACTCAAATACTGAAAAAGTTTTTTAAAGTTAAAAATATTTTCAGAAATTGGAAAAAATGTATGGTAAGAATTTATATGCTTTAATGGAATGGAAATTGGAAAAATACACTTTAAAACAGAAGCAGTACTGGATACACACACACATACACACACACACACACATACACACATATGCAACCATAATTAAATATTTTGTTTTTACCTTAAATGTTGTCAAATGAGGAAGGACTACAGGCCATTTGACAGAAGAATTGTTTCTTGTATTCCTGAAAATCTGTTTTTCTCCCTCTTTAATATTTAAGAAACACACACACAGGTTGCCGACAACTCTTAGAGAGCGGCTTGTGTTGTAGTTTTCACTTTCTCGGCTGTGAACAAGTGCATATGTGAGGGCTGGTCGTGCATGCACAAGCATGTACTTTGTCTGCATTAAATAAAATCACAACACAACACCACAACACCGAGTATATCCACTCATTCGTGTGTGCCTGTAGTCCACCTCGAGGAGACTGAAAATATAAATACAAGCTGCTATTTTGGTGTGATCACATGAATATGGCAGCTTGTGTTTTTTTTTTTTTTTTTTTCTTTCCTTTAACATTTTAACACTGGGCAGATTGTCTGCATTAACACACACCAAAATCAATTCTGCTCTGAAATTGCCTGTAAAACCTTCCTTCCCTGAGGAATTTGTTTTTTATTTAAATAAAAAATGGCCTTGGAGGAAACTGTGTAAAAGATACCAACGTTCAGGACATCTTAACTACTTTAAAGTATAAAAATCAGAGTACTGGCAGTATTCCTCCCAAAACAGGAACTATACACAAGATAGTCTTTAAATTTAAAAAAATCAAGTTAATTCTGTAAAATTACTTTTGTATATCTTTGGTAGAGAAAAATATTTCAAAAATAGTCTAATTTCCAGTTGTATACTGCAATGTAACATGGTAACTACATCTGACTAAAAACTCAATTAAGATGCATATACTATAAAAATTCACGGAGGTTTCTTAAACGCAGAGAAAGGAAACAAAAGCAAGTATTTAACACAGATCATGTCTAAACGTTCAATAGGAATAAAAAAATAAAATGTACATAGTCACATCTTATACTATTCAAAAGTATACCAGCAATGAATTATCTCTAACAGCACTGTCCAATAGAACTTTCTGTAGTGATGGAAATCTTCTATATTAGTTGTCCAAAACAGTTGCCTTTAGCACTTGAAATGTGGCTACTGTAAATGAAGAAGTGAATTTTAAACTTTATTTAATTTTAATTAATTTAAATTTAAATAGTTACGTGTGTGGGGTAGCTAACAAACTGGAAAACATTAATCTATAGTTTTAAAAAGAGAATTTTAGGGATTATTAATGAATTAATCAGGTGACAAGACAAAAAAAAAGCTGAGGAGACAAAGTTTGACTAAATTGCTACATGAGATGATGTCTGAGGCTTGACCTATATGTAAAGGATAAGTAAAAGGAAGCATTAAAATGAGGAAGTTTTATCTTTAAAAATCTAACCATATCATGGAGATTCAAGTAGGAAAGAGACGAATTAACTGATAAATGAGCTGCCTGAAGTGTTAACTACAGTAACTAGAAACACGAGACCAAAAATTGAAGACGATGATGAGCAAGAAGCAATCAGATCAACTTTTAAATACAGTCAAAGTTACAATGATAAAAGTAAGTTAAAGAATTTTAATAATGTGAAGAGAGATAACATCTGAAGAAAAGATGAGACTGTTTGGCAATAGCTCATAAATATGTTAATCTGCAAATGATGTTAAAGTCACTATATATATATATATTTAGACTAGACCTTGATAGGCCAAATAACAGACTTCTTTGGCATCTAATATGGAAATGATATTTTAATCTGAACTCATTATTTCTCATCATTTTAAATAATATTGAATTTCATTTAACTTTAAAGGCTTTGAAGCATGACAAAATTAGTTCAGAATGGACAATTCGAGTTCTGTATTAGAAATGCTGTAAATTGGAAGCTCCTTGATTTACCTTCAGATTATCTGTTCTTTTTTCAGTAATAAAAAAGGGAATAGTAACAACCTCATTAGGTTGAGATAAGGAAAAATTAATTGAAACGAATGGAAAATCCTTTGAGGCAAAAAAGTGCTAGTGGAATAAAAGAATATTAAAATTAGTTGAAAGGGGAGATAATATTTAATACAGCAACATATCCAAATCAAATAAATTCAATAACGATGGCAACAACAAAGCTTATGAGATCAAATTATCTAGTTTTAGTTCAGACTAGAAGGTTGATAACAGTATTTTTTTTTAAGTGTGCTTATGCCTCTAAAGACGAAACAGATGCTGGAGATTGTTGTTACTAAAATTGAACAATACTAATGATCTGTAATAAGACTCACAATCAATAAGCATTTTTAAGCATCAACTCTGCACAGTGCAATGAGGCAAAAACAAGACTGAGTCCATGCCCTCCAGGGGCTTACCATTAGGTTTGGGAGATGAGACCTACGCTAACACCAGAGCTCTTATAGATACTGCTTCTATTAGGGCACTCGTTATCCTGCCTTGTAGCTAGTTTCTTGTTTTTTTTTTTTTAGCCTATTCTATTTATTAGACTTTGAGCCTCCTAAGGATCCATGTCATATTTATCTTGGCCTCTCCAGTGCCTGGAACCCTTCAGGAGATTAATATAATTGTACTGAACACATCAGAAGATGGACTTAAATATGAGACCAAACAGAATTAATATCATAAAAGAGTTATTAAGAAAATTCTACTAGAACATAGAGTAGGCAAAGATTATTTCCAATTGCGAAGACTGGAAAACACTTCATGGACATGGTGGTGATAGACTTAGGCCTTGAAGGATGAGTTGCTAGGAATTCAACAGGAAGCAGTGGAGGGAGAGGCATTCCAGCAGAGGAGGGTAAAAGCAAGGCATGGAAAAGGGGAAGCACAAAACCTGTTCAGGAAATAATGCCAGAAGTACTGGTCTAAAAGGGATCTGGGTGTGTGCTAGCGAGGCTAGGTAAGTTCATTCTTTTGCAGGCCATGGCGACTCACAGAAGGTTCTGAATTAAGCAAGTGTCATGATAAGAAATGTGATTTGTAAAGAGCGAATGGGTTGCAACACACAGATGGACTGGAAGAGAAAGATACCAGACCCAGAGGGAGCAATTAAACAAGAGCCACTAGATAAGAGGTAAAAAGGACCGGAAGTAGAGCAGTAAAAATGGAATAGAGCCAATGAATGTGAGAAAACTACATATAATGTCCAACTAATTTGTATTTAAGGAGCCTGGGTGGAGCAAGTGGCTTGCAATCAGCAGCTAACCAATGGAAAGGCTGGCAGTTCGAACCCACCCAGCAGCTTTGTGGAAGAATAGGCCTGGCAATCTGGGTTACTCCTAAGGTAACCAGATAATTCAAGCTAACCAAAATGATCTCATACCTCTCATTCCCCCCAGCCCACGTCCCACTACCATTGCCAGTTATCTATGGTTTTACTGTAGCCCAAACCCATGATTCCTTTGAATTATCTTCATTTCAAAATAGAAAATTTCACTTGTTAAGTATGCAGTATAGTGTTAACAATAGTCCATGTCATGTGATAACTCAGTGTTAGGGACTGGAAAGAGATAAATGTCAGAGAGCCAGAGGCCTTGGCATTGTAAGAATACTACTAATAATACTAAGGAGTTGAACTAGGAGTAGGGCAGACAGGAAAAGCTACAAGAAGGACTTGGAGGAAGCCATGACGCTCATGCACTAGGCTCATTCCCAGAGCCCAATGATTAAATCATATTTACTAACATTTCTATAATTTTTTTTTAATAACAATGGTTTACTGTTCAAAGTCCAAACATATCTAATTTAGGCCCTATAATAATCCTATGAGGTACTTACTGTTAACCCCATTTTACAGAAGAGGAAACTGAAGGGGAAAGACGTTGAAATTAATTTGCCAAAGATCATAGCATATGTTAGCTAAAATTCATCCTAGGATCTTCTGACACAAATTCCATGTACTTCCTACTAGATGATAGGAGCCCTGGTGGCACAGTGGTTAAGAGCTTGGCTGCTCACCAAAAGGCTGGCAGTTCAAATCCACCACTGCTCCTTGGAAACCCTATGGGGCAGCTCTACTCTGTTCCATAGGGTTGCTATGAGTTGGAATTGACTCAACGGCCTAAAAAGATGAGGTCTAATGTGGAAAACTTAGGAAGATTAACTAAGTGTTAAATAAGAAACTACTCTTAATCACATGGTAAACACTGAGTAGGTTGACAGAAGAGGTTGTTTGAAAACCTAAATGGCTTCAAGAGCAAGAGAAATAAGGAGTGTAAGAATAACATATCATTTATAAGTTAATTTGATCAGAAAGGGATTCAAATGTAGAAGAAAAGATAATTTTTTCTAGCAATACCAATATACTGACTACACAATATAACCTTAATCAGAAAATAAAAGCACACGACTTCAATCATTAGAAAATGATAAAACTTATTAAAATATTATTTTAAGATGATCAATGTTTTAATAATTTATTTTGAAAAAGGGAACACAAAAATATATATTTTAAGAATAGAAAATAATACTTATTATCAAAATTAGGACAATTTTGACTTGTTATTAATACAAGTAGAATATTGCATTCATTTAAGGCTCCTCTATGCATTTGGTATTTTGCTAAAATTACAAAGAAGTAACACCAATTTGAATTACTGAAAGCAACTTGTAAATAGTTCTACATACGTTCTTTTCACATCTTGTTCAATCATTGATCGGAGTTCTTTATCTTGGAAGAATTTGTTCCAAAGACTCTGAAATAAGGAGAACAATCGGTTTAAAATAACCCCACACTTTTGCTTAACTTTTACTATTTCAACTTAGTGATTTAAATTATTAAATTTAGTTTGCTCTGAGTTATTATTTCACATTGTAGACAGGGAACCCAAGACAGGGATAATTTTTATTAAAATCTAGTTTAGGCTCAGACCACCTATCTTTATTCTAACATCAATCCCTCCAGCCTGATATTACTGTATATCTTTTCTAAATTTCTGTCTAGAATCTATATAAACTGATAAACGCTCTTCAGGACTATACATCTGCTGCTACCTCTACCACAACAAAAAGGTCTGTTTGGATGACAGCAGGGATCACAGGGCAAGTGGTCCCAACTTGAACCTGACCGGAATTCCCAACGCTCTAAGCAAACTATTTAAAGCTTTCTACAAAGCTTGGCTGCATAATCCAGTACATTTTTATGTACTTTAAAACATGTGAATTTAGGCAAACTTCTAAAAATTACTTAACAATATTTTATGCTCCTATACCACAGACTACATTATACTAATTACATGTATCAGAAAAAGAAATGTTAATACTATGTATTAAACAGCGAAAAAAAAATTCTGTTCTCAGGAAAACAGACGGGTTAGAACAACAACAATTGGTGAAGTTATGCAGTACCTTTTAAGTAGTAATTATCCCTATTCTTCACCAGAATAAAAGTGGAGGTAGGCCTGAATGTATAAAAACTTTTTCAGACTCACTACAAATAGTTACCTCGTTCTTCCTGAGAGTTAGTCCTGCCAAGTGAACCCTTCTCTAATTATCATGAAGGGAGTCTCTCCTTAGTCCCCCATTGTCCGTTCCAACCTTGGTAAGACAGTTCTATCTTCATCCTTAGGATCTCCCCTCTGTAGTACCATTCCACAGAAACAGATCATAAACTTCTGACAACACATCATGTACATAGCATAGAATAATTTCCATCAGGTTTTGCAAGGGATAAAGAATAGTGGGCATGAAAACAGTTCTTTCACGGTGATTTTGACAACCAGTCTCATGAGTATATTCTTAGGGGCAAAAAAGGTGAGATAAAATTGAATAAAGTTGAACTTTACCCCTTCATCCTGTGAAAGGGGATTATTGATCATCAAGTCTTGCTGGCCAACAACCTTCCTTGGGTTTGTGATATGCTGGTAGAGAAAAAAAACAAACACACAATGATAAGAGACTATAGGACTTTGAAGCACACAGAAGAAAACAATTACATTAATTAAAATAAAACTTACTATTTCTTTAACGTTGCTATACCAGGCTCTTAATTCTTCAATTTTACTTATCCACTGACTTTTATCTTGAGGAAGAACACAAAGAAAAAGCTGTCAGGAAAAAAAAGGAAACTTTTGTAAAAATCATAAGCAAAATGTGAAACTATGCCAAACAGCATCACTGAAAATTGAAAGATATTCACATTCATGGTATTTCATATTCGTATCATCATTGCAATTCTCAATAATTTTATATTTGGGGATATTTAAGAAACATACGAAGGGATAATTTGAAAAGTGAATAACCAAAGACCAGAAAAGAAGATCCCCAAAGCTACACCACAAAGTGGAATCAATCTTCCCTCTGGACCAGATTTATATTAAAAATAAACAATAAAAATGCATTGAGGTTCAAGTATAATTCCCATTTTACATTCTAATCTTAATGGGGCTGTCAGGGGGGCATTAATAAGCACAAGGTCCAATTAGTAGTTTCTAGGTTTAAGTTTTTGCCTTAAAATAAGCCAAGTAAAGGACAGAGAGGAACAGTCTGAGGACACAGTCTAAGAAGCGACCTTGTTCCTTTTACAGCAGAAAACGTAATTTACAGCTGGTAATCAGTTTATGAAAACAATAAGCATTCTTAAAAAGACAAATTTGATTTAATTTAGTTTAATACAACATTAAAATAAATCTGGATTTGGGTTTATTTTTAGCAGAGGAAGGATACTAAAAGTTAAAACAAGGAAGCGGGTGGGGCACAAACATCTGTATACAAATATTCCAACAGCAGGTCTCCTGCCTTTACTGCTTGCATCTAACAGAAGAAAAATGTATTTTAATTATTAAATCTAAATTATTAAATCTGAAAGTGTCTAATACATCATGTGTTTCTTACTGTCTTTACTTGCACACACTCTATGCTCAATTTATGCAGATAATCCTAAAAACTTTCAATAGAAGTCAGTTTAGAAATGAATCTAAACCTAAATTAATTATATGAAAACAAAAAGGGACAATAATTCAAAGCAATTAAAAAGATAACTGCCAATTATTATTATTAGTTTTGGTAACCAGTGGTCCTTTTTCTCTGAAGGAGACTGACTCAATTTCCTTCCACTTCTCCTTCTTGCTGCTCTTTCATTTTGTGTTTCAATTAAAAAAAAAAAAAAAATGTGAAAAATCCTCTCCATGTGCTATTTATGAAGAAAAAGGGTAGGATGAATAAATGACGGCACTCGATAAAATAAGAACCTGAAAGTTAACCCCTACCCCCTTCACCTGCTCAGCTTCAAGGGTTTCTGTAAAAAGCCTCTGGGGACTGGGAAGGTGTTGCTCTGAATTCCACACCACCAAATGAGATGCACAGGCAGTCATTTCAAACGACTCCTGTACCAACGGCAGTTATTCAGGACTAAGGTGATTCAACCTTATTAGTAAATGTCCTATGAAACATAAAGTGGATGGCCAAAAAATTGGGAATGAAGTCTCCTAGAAAATTCAGTGATCCCCTGCATGGGTAATCTTGCAGGGGTATCAGGTAACGTGTTGATATATTGCTACCACAAACTGTAAATAAATATTTTCTTCTTACCTTCCAGCAAATACTGCGGAACCTGCTGCTTCTCAGCTGCCCATTAATCCCCTTAAGCCTTATTGTTGCCAAGTAATTGTTGTTTACAAATAGTTCTTCCCATTCTTTCCTATATGCAAGAAATCAAAGCATGGGGATCCTTTTGTTAAAATTCTTCTGCTTGGAGAGGAGTGTTACAGGAAATCAATTTTAAAGAAATCTAAGGAACGCAACTTTTAAAACGTATATATTTAGTTGTGGACTGTTTCTGAATGCGTGGCTGTCTTTCTGGACACAGTTCTTCTGTAGATTTAATGAATATGTAGATCACTATAATTATGCCAGCAACTGAAATTCATAATGTCTATGGAGGCTATTCCATTTCCTCCAAAATGTTGATAATGCAGTTCAGTGAATAAACAAGAAAAAATTAATATTAATATAAGCATATAACTGCTTTAGCCATTGACAAAGATATACCTGCCCCAAACACATATAACAAAAAAGTGTACTGTTGATTATATTGGCTTCTCACATGAAATATCTGATTAAATGAACCCATTTCTCTTAAATGTCAGGATAGGCAGTTAAGCATAATAGAAGACTACTTTTTTTAACTTTTAGTGCTATTTACTATTGAAATCTCTGCAACTTCTCTCTACATGATCAGTTTTAAAATTTTAACAGGTGTGGGCAAATTTGAAAAAAAAAAAAAAATTAAAAAGCCTCACTGTATAAACTGCTAAAGGCAAGCTTGAGTACCTTACAGCACCTATGGCTGACTAGATAAACAACTGAAATATGCCTCCCAGGCACGCAGACACAAGGGGCCTAACACCTGTGCCTCATTAATATACAAGTAAATCTGCTCCACTGGGAAACAATTGGAAATTAATTGTCCCAAACCATTTACTGAGTCTGAATAAAGGAATTAGACCTATATTTCCTGCATCTTGCAACAAACTAAACACCAAGAATTATTTGTCAACAGTTGAGGTTAGTAATTTCAACTTTATGAAATCCCTCTCAAATTCCAACATGCTACAATAAAATAAATTTATAATTTAACATTTATTATCAAAGCTGAAACCCTGGCAATCTCTTAAAAATCCTCTACAACTCTCAACCATCCTTGTATATACATGCAGTTGTCATTGGCCAGATCCTACTCGTTCCGTGAAAAGACAACCAGTCTAACCAGCTGTACATCTAAAGTTCAAGTCTGACCAGGAAGCAAGCTGCGGCTTCTCCAAGGAGCTCCAGAAGAGTGACCAAAGGCAATGGCACACTCTTTCTGCTGCCATCAGCAAGAGAAATTCTAGCTTCAACCCTGCAGCACTGAGCCCTAATCACGTCGAGCCTTCTGCCAGTAGGGCTTTGGGGCTAAGTATGCACAATGGGACATACGTTTCAACCCCATACTGAAAGAAATACATTCTCACCACCACTCCATGAAAATTACTTATTCTTATCACTCTACTCATAAGAGAAAACAATATTTGATTTTAATTTGCATTTTTATTATTAGTGAAACTGAAAAATTCTCATACTTTTTGGTCATTTGTAATTCTTCATTTTTAAACTTCCTGTCTTGTCTTGTGCCCATTTTAAGGCGTATAGGATAGTGGTTAAGAGCACGGACATCACAGATACACTCCCGGGTTCAAATCCTAGCAGCACTGCCACTTACTAACTGTGCGAACATGGGCAAGTTACTTAACCTCCCTGTGCCTGAGTTTCCTCAATGTAAAATGGAATAATAATAGTGTCTATCTCAAAGAATTATTCTGAAGATTAAAAACAGTTAATACATGAAAAGCCCTTAGAAGGGTACCTAGCATATCATAACATTTTTAACAATTAATAATATTATTAATAATTATTATATTTGTAGTGTGCCTTCTTATTGATCCAAGAAAGGAATTCTTCATACATTAAAGATGTCACACCTATGTCTGCCATACACGCACAAACACACACACACACCTAACTGCCTTGATTTTCAATACAGTAAAGTTTAATCTGTATATAGTTTAAATCTAATATTATTGTCCCTTGCTGCTCTTTCGATTGTCTTCCTGTTCAAACATGTCTTAGCCACTCCAAGGTCAAATAAATATTCACTGAAATCTTGTTATTTGTTACCAATTTAATCCACTCATATTACCTAGAATATTTAAAATATATTTTCCACTTCCACACAATGCCACATGTATGACTCATGCTTCGTATTGCTCAAGTTTTGCTTTTATCCAATTTTCCAGTATTCAGTAATATTCAAAATAAGTAGACAAGTGCATTAGAGGAGTACATCTCAGAAACCGTAAGTAAATTTAAAGAACTTGTGGTCTGTGAACAAAACACACAGATTTTGAAATGTATTTTAAGCCCAAAAGGGATCATAACTTGTGAGAGGCCATGCAGTTCCACTGGCCTGAAAACACCAACACATTCCAGGTAAGAGAAGGAAGTAGAGGGTAATGACTCCTCTAGCCTCTTCCGGAATCAGCTCCCATTCACAGGTACCAAGACATCGTGAAAACGCAAGCACAGCTGGAGGCTGGATGCATTGCCATCTTGTCAAGTTCAGCAGCAACCTTTTAAGGTCAAGTTACATACTCCTTACGTAATGAAAGATAATTATTTGTTAGCTTAAATAAGACCCAGTGCCTTGATTACAGCGTTGGTACAGAGAAAAAGAGACTGAGGTATGTGAAATGGAAACACTATTTTTGAAAATCACAATCATTTGAATTTATTCGTGGGTACTTATATAGTTCAGTTAAGGCAGAACATCTCAAACTGATGATGAGTTCTAACATAAAGGCCAGAAGATAATCTACTAATCGTCTTTCTCTTCTGTGGAACAGTGTTTCATCAATAAACAGTGATACAAAATAAACATAATAAACATTAAGTGCCTACTATGTGCTTAGCAAGAGTCCCTGGATGGTGGAAATGGTCAAGCACTGGGCTACTAACCGAAAGGCTGACGGTTTGAACTCACCAAGAAGTACCTCAGAAGAAAGCCCTGGTGATGTGCTTCCTATGGAGGGTAGTTCTACTCTGAAGCACATGGTGTCACCATGGGTTGGGATCGACTCAACAGCAACTGTTTTCTTCTTTTTTATGTGCTTAAACCAAAACCAAACCTGTTGCTGTCTAGTCGATTCCAACTCATAATGACCCTATAGGACAGAGTAGAACTGCCCTACAGGGTTTCCAAGGAGCAGCTGGTGAATTCAAACTGCTGACCTTTTGGTTAGCAGCCTGAGCTCTTAACCACTGTGCCACCAGGGCTCAGCACTCATAAAGATATACTTAAAAAAGCATGAAATAAGTTAAGGAAGTAGATGGATGGATGTAAATCAACAATGATATGATTAATGTGAAGTGCGCTGGTAACACAGAGGAGGGAGAAATAGCTTTCCACCAGAATATTAAAACTCAAGATAGATAATAACAGACTCCGGAAGGCAGAATGTTGAAAAGTTTAGGCCTTCTAGGGGAGCTGGACAAAATGAAAAGATGTATATGATCACAAATATGAATGGGAAAACGTGGGAAAAGAACAGGAAATACTGAGAAGTCACTGGTGGAATTTTTCAGTTAAATAAAAAAAATAGAGGAAAAGGTACTTGCTAAACTTTGTTTTACAAATATACACATAATGTACTTGTAATAATTCATAAAAATATGATAATGTCATTTAAAATGCTAAAATAATTCCACTCATAAGAGGTAATTATTTAGGAGAATCACTTCTAACCTCTACAATGATCATCCTAGGGTGGGTATTTTTAACCCCTCTTTATGGATGAGGAAACTGAGCCTCAGAAAAATAACATAGAGAAAAAAAAAAAGAATGAGAATTAGGAAAAGCATCTTCCTATAGTAACACGGAGACAAGAAACACTAAAAGGGAACATGATACTCCAGAAATCAAAGGGTGAAATTGGACTCTTGGCATCAAGGTAAGATAGACAAGGCAGGATTCTACAATCTTCCGCAGATTTTTCGCTTTCGAGTATCAAGTTCAAGGACAGAGCGAAGAGTTTTCACATGTTGGACTGAAGAGGTAAGTCAACAATCTGGAACATTTAGGTACTTAAAAGCTTTAAATGGGGCAGAGATCAGAAACCTGGGCCTTCAGGACTTCCGTGATAAAGCACTCCTGCCATCTAGTGGCTACTACTCTGCCTTGCAGGCACTGGGTCCCAGAAAACATAATCAGCATCTAATAAGCAGGGAGAACACCATGTGTCTGTAAGTTCGTTATACTGTGTGGCTTGCATGCCGCTGTGATAACGGAAGCTTTGGCACTAGTATTTTAAATACTAGCAGGGTTACCCTTGGTGGACAGGTTTCAGCAGAGCTTCCAGATTAAGGCAGACTAGGAAGAAGGACCTGGCAGTCTACTTCTGAAAAAAATTGGCCAGTGAAACCTTATGAATAGCAGTGGAACATTGTCTGATATAGTACCAGAAGATGAGCCCCTTGATTTGGAAGGCACTCAAATTAGGACTGGGGAAGAGCTGTCTCCTCAAAGTAGAGTTAACTCTAAGGAAGCATCAAAAGAAGAGGGAAGGAATACACAGAGCCACTGTACCAAAAAGAATTGGTCGATGTTCAGATGGTTCAGGAGGTAACATATGATCAGGAACCGATGGTGCTAAAGGAAAAGGTCCAACCTGTGCTGAAGGCACTGGCAAAAAACAAGGCTCCAGGAATTGACGGATTACCAACTGAGATGTTTCAACAAACGGATGCAGCACTGGAAGCGCTCACTCGTCTATGCCAAGAAATTTGGAAGACAGCTACTTGGCCAATCAACTGGAAGAAATCCATATTTGTACCCATTCCAAAGAAAGGTGATCCAAAAGAACGTGGAAATTAGCAAACAATACCATTAACATCACACTCAAGTAAAATTTTGCTGAAGATCATTCAAAGGCAGTTGCAGCAGTACATCGACAGGGAACTGCCAGAAATTCAAGCTGGATTCAGAAGAGGAAGTAGAACAAGGGATATCGCTGCTGATGCCAAATGGATCATGGCTAAAAGTAGAGAATAGACAACACCAGAAAGATGTTTACCTGTGTTTTATTGAGTACGCAAACACATTCAACT